AATGAATTACACGTATATTTATCGATGTATCAAGAGAATACGAATAAAATGATTTATAAAACAAAGGTATGCTCACAAATTTAAAAATTAAATTTTTATTTTGGAGAGTGTACCTATTTTTCAGATTTGCCAATATGTTTGTGTATATTGCGTTCGCGTGCAAATTTTTTATCCGGATCCCGATAATTGCCCACGGAAACAAAGGAGTTGCGTCGGTAACGTCGGCAATGATGTTTAAATGTTGATTAGTGTTAACCAGAGTTGGAGTAATAGCTGGTAATCACGTGATATTGGTTTTTGACTTATATTTACTTGTACATGTCAAGTTTTTAGGGAGAGAACAAATGTGTAGCCAAGAGCTTGAGCTCAGCATTCATCTTGTGAAATGAATACTTAATTCAAATCTTCTATCTGTCAATATTTGAGGAGATTGTTAATACTCGTTGCGCGTATTCCAAGACGAATTCATATAAGACGCTGTTGTCTCATCAGCTGTGAGTAGCGTTTGATTGTCAAAATTTAGTATTTCTCTAGTAAGTGAGTGAAAATGTGGCAGTATTGATATTTTCTGTCGCCCTTTCTTATCCGGGGAAGAATAGTTGACATTTGACAATGGCCCGCTAAAAGCAAAAAAAAAAATACAAGAAATTGTGGTATTTATTGAATCGATGCCACCTTATATGAATTTGCCTTTCACGTATTCATGGACCTTATCACTGTTTTACTCTCTTTTTTTTTGATAATGGTAATTTTTCAACGTACCTACATATATAATACGATAATAATCCAATCCACCGAACTAGGTAGTTTTAAGGCAATGACTGCATTAAGTTTGAGTGGAATTAATGAGACGCATATGATCACCATTTTGATCTTTTACAGAAGATGCAAAAAATCTGCATGTTGCTATAATTTTTTAACATAAACCGAGTCTGTTGTCAAACACGCTATGTTGCCGCTGTTACGACACTACGCCTGGGAGTTTTAATAATTATTTTTGGTATTTTTTTTAACTGAACATATAAATATTTATATATTTCATAAATTGACTAGCGTTGTGCACTTCTCCACAAGTCTCCGTTCACTTTTCTCAGAGCAGAGGCAGAGCAGGAAATTTAAGATGTTTTGTAGTTGTATCCTTACAACTATTCCGCTTGTTGCACCATAGACTTAAATAAAATTGGTACTGATATGATGCAGTGAGGAGTGAACCCGTATGGCTGGAGATAAAGATTTAGACGTGAGTGCTTCTCAACACTCAGGATAGAAGACCACACACTTTGCAGAAAAGCTTCTATTCTGTTGAGCCTGAAAACTGTTTCAGGGCTAGGAAATGGATTTTTCTTCCAAAGTAAGGCAAAGTAAGTATCTTCACTTCTTTCTTTAGGCATCTTTCCCTTTGCTCCAAGCTGAGATATTTTTAATACTGAAGATCGGTGAAAATAATTAGGGATGTGGGAGTTTACGTATCTGTAGGGACGGCTAAGCTGCGGTGAAGACAATGGCCAACAGCATAACTACTTCTAAACTGGTTCCGCAAGACAAGGCTCAGCTAAAATTATAAAGAACTTGATTTACTCTGGGTTCCAGGTTACACGGAAGAACGTGATACATGGGCGTATACAGGTTTGTGGCCCCTAAATTTGAAAGTTTCATTGTAAATTTCTTTCGATGAATTTATAATCAATTTCCAATTCAAAAAATTTATGAATCAATTAAAACTTTTGGGGTCTTTACATCCATTTCGGTGGTTTGGTAAACCGCTGGTTGTTACTCGATAATTTTATCAACTGTGAACGTCCTTTTCAGCTTACTTTTGTTAGTCTGATATATTAGGGCTATTCGCGATCCGGTGCAAATGGCCTAGCATCATTGCATTGCAAATTTGTATTGCAAATTATTTGCAATACACAAACAAAATACACGCATTTGCATTTGTCATGGCTTGGCAAATTTGCAATACCGAAAATCCATAGCATAAAAATGCTATGCATTGCATTCATAAACAAAACCAAAGCTGATGCACAAAAATTGTTTTGCAAAAGCTTTACCATGACAGTTTAATAAAGGTCGCTCACAATCCATGGCATATTTCTGGAATTGCATAAATTTGTCAGCTCTTATGCACCGAATCGCGAATAGCCCTATTATGTTTATAAACAGCTTGTTGGTGTTTTTTTTTATAGAATATACAAACTGTAGCACAAAATTTAAGATCATTACTCAATCGCATCGGTAATTTACTTAAAAAAAGGTGAAATAATTATTATCTTTTAATATTTTGTACTTAGTTGGGGTATTCACAACGGTGCCGTAAGTGCGGTATTGTTGTATGTCGTAAACTTTAAACGCCTAGAAAATATATTGAGGGGGTTCGTAAAGTACCACCAAAGTCATATTATGAATTTTCGCCGTGTTAAAAAATAGTTGGTTGTGGTTTAAAGTTCTCTTAACATTTATTTAAGCTTTTAAAGTTTACGACATACAACAATACGGCACTTACGACACCGTTGTAAATCCCTCAAGCTTGTACTTGAATTTAGGTATAAGTATGCTTAGCGTTCACAGAGGTTTTGTAGAAAAAACATAATGAAATTATCACTAAAACAATTTATCGATTTGTAGAATACCCTGGAAGACTATTACTTTTTTAGCAAGAAACAAAACTGACTTCAATTCTCATGTAAAACTTTAAGATTACCGTTAATTTCTTAATGATCCAATGATGGGATCGAAACCAAATTAGGATGGGACAACCTCTGAGGTACCACCTTTGTTTAAAAAAAAAGAATTATCGAAATCGTGTATGCGGTAACATACATAAATAAATATTTCGACGAATAGATAACCTTCTCCTTTTTTTGAAGTCGGTTAAAAATATTTAAAAAATCGATTTTGGTGTAAACACAAAGTCACATTTTAAAACTTGCATTCAATTAAGGTGAACAACAAATTGTTATTTTAACTCTTCAGTAAGTTCATAGTAAACTTCATGTTCAATTGTTACAATAACAAGTAATTTTTAAGAAAAATACATAACCTACTTCAATTATCGTAAAAACATTTAGAATTACCGTTAATTTCTTCATGATCCAATTATCCGATCTAATCCAACTTATAGCGTTTTCTTTTCTCGAAAAAAGGCTGCACTTATTCTGCCTTGTGTTAGCGCTGTCACATTTTCACGTTCTTTTCTCAGCCCAGGTTGCGCTCTGATCCGGCGAAAGTGCTGCCTTTTCTGCCCTCAAATAAACGTGACGGTGAGAGTTGCATGGTTGATTTTTAATTGAATCTTGTAAAAATGCAACTATTTTTCCTATCAGAAATAAGTGTTTTGCTTTAAAATTGGAAAGACTTACAGGCCAAGTGAATAATTCGGCTTTATTAAGTTCTATAAATAAATTGTGATGGAGTAGAATATTTTCTGTTTCATTCTAATATAAAGAACGCAACATTTTCTCGGGTTTCAGGGCAACGCAAAGCAAGAGTTCCCATATAAAAGGGCATAAATTTTTTTGAGAAAAGAAAACGCTATTAGTGTGAGGCCTCCCCTGAAGCACCAGCTTTCCGATAGGAAAAGAATTATCGAAATCGGTTAATGCGGTCCAAAGTTATGCGGTAACATACTTAAAAAATCCGATGAATTGATAATCTCCTCCTTTTTTAAGTCGTTTAAAAAGAGAAAAATTAATGAGGTATGTTTTTATAAATTTTTTTAATAGCTATATTTTTAAATTTCTAATAAAATTTACATTACAAAGAATTTCAGCCCCCTAAATTATGTTTTGCCTACGCCCATGACGTCATAATGAAATATCTGATTAGTTGGCTAAAAGGAACTCCGATCAGGTATTCTTCCACCCGCAACCAATTATATTACTCCCAACTTATCAATCGAAGCCACCGTCAGAAACTGGGTGAATCTTTTTGCTTTTTTGTTTGTTAGAAAAAATGGAAAAAGCAACAAAGTCTTAGCGGTAGATGTTATAGCTACTATTTCGCTACATCTCCTCACCATACTTATTTTTCTAGACTTTAGCAGGGATCGAACCCTTTTTACCGATGTGCAAAGTCATAAGCGCTAACCACTGAGCTATGCACACCCCGTAAACTCTTGTTTCTAATTCATTTCCTTACTCAACCTACTACTATCAAGTGCAGCTGATACCCTGCTGAAGTCTAGAAAAAGAAGCCAGATGAGGAGGTGTAGTGATCTCCGGAATAGTAGCTATAACTTCTACCGCTTAGACTTTGTTGCTTTTTCCATTTTTCCTAGCAAAGATATTCCTGATGCAAAACTCAACAACAATATTGAAATAATTTTTTATTTCAACTTATACCCAAAACCGATACTAGCATAGGCGAAGATATAACATACATATATATTTTGACCCAAATTGGGGTCGGTTAAGGCGTGTCGCAACGGGGTCAAAGGTCAGATGCCTTTATGGAGACTCAAAATTTTTTTTTATTTAATACCCAAAATTGATAAACCTAAAGTCGAAGATATCACTTATAAATTTTAGTCCCGATTGGAGTCGGTTAAGACGTCTTCATGGGATCAAGTGTGACACGACTTAACCGCCTCCAAATGGGGTCAAAATATAAACATGTGCGATATCTTCGCCTTGGGCAGCAAAAATCAGTTAAGCAGTTTTGCAGAATGACTGTTTAGGCCGTTGGCCTAAACATGCCGGCCCCCTTTGCGAAGCGAAAAATCTGAATTCCACGTGTTCCGGCCACTATGTTCCAATTAACTCCTTAATTTTAAAAAATTATCTAATAATGTAAGTGTTCTTCGTTGCCGTTGTCCGTGTACCTAAATTCGGTAAGGTAGAAGAAAGTATTATTTAAAGACGTGGGTTTCAAAAATTCATCTGCACTTTAATTCAATAAAGATAAGAAAACAATTCAGTGGTTATGTGTAATTCATTATTAACAAAAATAAACTTAACTAGGAAAATAAATAGTATTGAAAATAAAAACAAAGAAATGCGGTTTTAACATGCGCCTGACAATACCCATCCGAAAATGGTGTTTTGCGCTAGTAGCGGACCGAGAGTTCCCGCTGGAATTGCGCCTAACAACATCTTCGGGAAAACTTCGGCACCTAGCACTAAGCGGACGGGAGCTGCGATGTGGAAGTGGGGATCGGCGAGCTTTATGTTGTTGTACGGTGCTGCGACCGTGGCATCGAGGCTTTTCAAAGGTGTTTGTTGCCGGTAGTTCCGTACGGCCACCGCGTGCAATGTAATTGTCGCGGAATTTCCGTGCTTTCCGCGCAGCTTCATAAAACACCCTCTTTGATTTCCGACTGCCGTTAAACAGAGCTTCAGCTCTTGCGCAAGGTCTAGTGCGATAATGGACGTTGCGGCACACGGGTTTATTAACGCTCTTACCAGGTGCAAGCGGCCTCCTGCTTCTACCCTCACTATGGCTGTAGGCGCAACTGCGGTAAGTTGTTGTAGCGGATTCATAGGGGCCTGCACTTGCCCAGACCGAAAACCATTTCTTGCTGGGAGGTGGAATGCATGAGATTCCACTCTCCCGTTGTGACGCTGACGCCGTGGGCGGTGGTTGAAACGTCGAGTTTGAGTGCGGTACCAATTGTTTCGCGGTTGGAAAGTTCTCGTTTCCAATCCGCTTACCTCTCTTGGCTCATACCTCAAGAGCTGCCCGTAATACTGGGGTTCCAGTTCCACTTCCTCAGCCGAATCCGGATGGAGTGCGTTTGACTCCATTCCGGTGGATTCATCTGGGCGGAAAGCGTTAGTTTCCGCTCCAGCGACTGGCATTTCTTCCTCTTCCAGGTCTGGGCGGAAAGCATTAGTTTCCGCTCCGACCTCAGACGCATCTAATGAAAGCGCATCATCACTATCACTGTCGTTCATTGGCCGCGTTGGTCGCCGCTGACGTCTGGATCCATCGCTCGTGTGATCAATATGAAGCATCGTGTGGTGTTCTTCATTACAGCGTCGGCATCTCCCTGGGTTAGTGCAGTGGGCTGCACGATGTATCCCCGATAAACAATTCGTGCAGTAGCGATGAATCAGAACGTCACGCAGGCGTTCTTCTGGCCTTTTGGCACGAAATATTGGGCATACTCTTAAGGGATGCTTCTTACTGCATAATCTGCACGTCAGCGGGTAATTATTTGCCTCAGCTTGTTTGCGTACATTAGTGAAGCGAGTCATCTTCTGAAATAATCTTGTATGTAGCGCACCGACAAAAATGATCGATTTTGGAATGGCGAGCAATATGGGAAACAAACTAAAGGTTTTTCCAACTTTTCGTAATTTCGCTAACTTTGACTAAAAGTGCACAGTGTTGTGACCCCTTAATGATTGATAGATGGTTTGACCGTGCATACAAGCCTTTATGGTTGATGGGTTGGTACAACAGGGTTGCAAGAGGTATCTGGGTTTCTTCCCTGACATGGAGATTGCACGAAAACGTGTGCCGAAAACAAATTAATACGTAGAAATTGTCATATTCTTCATCACTCTCTGTGCTCGCATTAAATGGCATCAATGAAAACTTGTGCAATTGATGCATTAAATTGCATCAAGGAAAAAAAAACTTACGCAATTGAAAAAATAGATAATAATAAATAATTATGTATTATTTATTACTACTCACCCCCTCTATATGAAAAAAGGCACACATAATTTCCATTACTGCAATCACTAACTGCACACACCCACTATTATGCAGATCTGCACAAAATTTGCGCAGACCTGCTACAGAAAATGCCAAGTGCACTCTCGGTGTTATTATCGAAAGAACTCTCCACAGTATCGAATTGTTTAATACATCGATATCGATAATACACCTCTACTTCCGTCAATGGCCGGCTGTCATTCACAAACCACATTACACATACCTGTTCGTGTTTACTACAAGTTCGGTTGTGCGGTGCCGGTGAAATATTTTGAATCAATCGAAAAAAAAAAAAACATAACAAGCGGCGCGAGATTAACCCGTTGGTGTTGTGAGAAAATAAATGCAGAAAAGAAATTGGGGAACGAAATGGCTAACTCCAGGTGAATAATTGTGTAAGTAAAGCGAACGTACAAACAAACAAAACAAATATGTGAAAACAAAGTGCCTTAATTATGAAAAATGTGCGTAAATTATTGTTAACTAAAAATGCGTAAATTAAGTTAATTCCATCAAAAAAACGTGCATAATAAAAAATATATAGGTTTTGGGAAACGTACATATGCACAGAAGTACCGGTGGAATATTCAATTCCCTTACAGTTCTGTGGCTTATGTACAGTCATACCCAGTAAGAAATCTATGCGTTAACTAATGCGTTATATATGCCTGGTACTGCAAACAGTTTGTGTGAGAATTCAGAGAAAAAAAAAACAATTTTTTCCTCGTTTTACATAGGGCTCGTGGAGAAATATAACGCATAATCGTGTCACGTGTGAGCAGTTTTCTCTATCTTTTATACGGAATTTGCGATTATAGTATCCTATATGTTGTTGTGTCTTTCCAATCAAATATTATTACGCGATTAGTAACGTGTTATATAACGCAAAAAATGGCGTATGAATATCGCTAATGTGCAAATGTGTTGTTTTTAATTGAAAATTTTGTAAGTGGATTGGAGAATGCGTTAGGACGTTCCTGCGGGGTATGTACATACATATGTACATGTTGTACTAGTTGTTCGCGTTAAGGGTGTGTCAGACGGGAAGGATAAAATTTATTTCTACATGCGAAGAAATAAACATTGCGAAGTGTGACCGCAGCTGAAAAGAGTGCTAATCGATTTCGAAAAATATATTGCAACTTGCTCGTGTTTCGCTAGCAATTTTCACTTATGCTGCAAGTTTTGTCAAATAACGAGTGTTGCCGAGTGAAACTGATTGCAAATTGTGAAAAATAATAAAAGATAATTTGGAAAAATTAATAAAAAAAACGTTTTGGAAATAAACCTAATTTCAGCAGACACTACAAAATTTCCCACTGTGCCAGCTTATCCGAAAAAATATTGCACTACAATGTCTGACAACCCCTTTATACCGTCGTAGTTTCGGTACATGTATGTATATATGTACATACATACATACATATGTATGTATGAAATGCAGCTCAACGCATGAACGGCACAATTTTGGCACATTCCATACTTTTGCATTAGAGATGGTCAATGGCGCGTATATTTGTGTGTTGACACAGTGTGTTGGTATCATTGTGTCATTGCTGTTGCGCTACTGCACTGGGTTACAGATTGCTAAAGTGTGTCATTTAAAAAAATAGTAGTACGTAAATGCGTTCGCCGGCAAATACGTTGAGCTCGAAAAGTCGAATGAACATTAATACGGGTGAATTCGTTGACGGTTAAAATTACATATGTGGATATGTTTAAAGCTGTTTTTTTTTTTCGTTGTTTATAAAGGAATGTGCAGCACAGGGCATGGATTAACGCATCGAAGGAATATTGTTGTCGATGCAGCCAGGATGGCCGGCAATATGCGCTATCCACAATGCCCAGTGGATCAAAAATCATTGGAACGTGGCTGCTTCTGAAGCAGATCCAGCCACCATGCCATCAAAGAAAAAGGGATCGGCCGATGAAAAGAAAGCGGGGTAAGTGCTGTTTTTTTTACAATTAAAAATTCTTCTTTGTTCGACTAACTTGCTATTAATTCAAACCTGCCTACCTCTGCTCGCGGGCCTTTCCATGGTGACTGGTGTAAAGTAATTTTGTGAAATAAATTTGCATATGTAGATGGAAAATATTAATGAAATTTAAACATTAAGCCGTACGTTACTTTGAATTAGGAATAGCTAGAATTGTTTTTAATTTCATGTGGTGTACGTCTTTGACCTGGCAATGTGTACAAATAGCGATTCTTGACACTGGCAAGTTATTTTTGCATAAGAAAACGGCAACAACATGAAAATTTCTAACAATTTCTACCAAATTTATTGAACAGTGTGTTTAAACTGTAACTATCGTCTTAATGGTTCAATTTCATTAAGAATGCTAATTTATTTTTGAATTACAATTAAATATGGAAAGTTGTTGGAGTTTGACCTGTGAATTCCATGTGAGAGCTGATGGGTTTTATTCGAATTTTGCTTTGTTGTAGGTGGAAGGGTTTTTCGAATGGATTTATACAGACGCCGTATTTTCATCATTATCCGTGGTATAGGGTGGTAGTAATACTAATTTGACAAGCGGTCTTGTCACTCTACCCTTTTCAGTTACGACGTCTACAACACGAACCCGATTGTCAGAACCTGGGTGCAAATTAGCCACCCTTCCTAATCTCCATTCGTTAGGTGGAAGATTATCCTCTTTTATGACCACCATGTCTCCCACTTTTATGTTGGATTTAGGATGTTTCCACTTTATCCGTTTCTGTAGTTCTGTAAGGTACTCCGTTTTCCACCTCCTGCAGAAGTTTTGATGCAAGGCTTTGAGTTTCTGCCAACGATTGACGATCGAGGCTGGGTTTTCGTTCACATCTAGTTCTGGTGGAGCCAAGATGTGTCCGCCTACCAAAAAATGACCTGGAGTTAAGGGCTCAAGGTCAGATGGTTCATTGGAAGCTGGGCTCAGCGGACGTGAGTTGAGACACGACTCAACTCGGCATAGTAGAGTGTTGAATTCCTCAAATGTGTACTTCATATTAGACGCGATCTTTTTAAAGTGGCTTTTAAAGCTTTTCACACCTGCCTCCCACAGACCACCCATGTGAGGAGCTGCGGCAGGTATGAAATGCCAAGTCAATGCCTGATGGGCATATTTTGATAACGTATTAGTCCGCGCTTCGGATAGAAATGCCTTTAGTTCCGCTTTTAAAGCCCGTGATGCTCCTACGAAATTTGTCCCATTATCTGAGTATACATTTTTTGGACACCCTCGTCTGGAAACGAATCTGGAAAATGCTGCTAAAAACGATTGAGTACTTAGGTCGCTTGTGGCCTCTAAATGAATGGCCTTGGTAGAAAAGCAGACAAATAGACACACATAACCCTTTGACATTCGGCAGCCTCGTCCACGATAACTCTTAATGTCGAATGGTCCAGCAAAATCAACCCCAGAATTGGTAAATGGTCGCGAAAAAGTTGTTCGCTCTTGTGGAAGAATCCCCATAAGTTGGCCTTGCGCGCGTTTTTTATAGATAGTGCAGATCTTGCAGTTATGGATTGTGGACCTTATCATCGTTTTCACCTTCGGAATCCAATACTGCGTTCGTATGAGACGCAACATTAGTTGATTCTCACCATGGAGAGAAGCTTCATGGATGAATTGGACAATCAGACGGGATAATCTACAATTGTATGGAAGTATTACTGGATGCCGTTCGTTGTACGCTAGATCCAGAGATGTACCAAGACGACCTCCCGTCCGCAGCACATCATCTTTATCCAGAAACGGATTAAGAGGAAGTATTTCACTCTTAGACTCAATGCATTCTTTAGTTTTCAGTTTCGCGATTTCTACCCCGTAATGCTGCTTCTGAGAAAGTTTAATCAGGCGAGTAGTCGTTGACTTAATTTCATTAGATGAAACTAAGCAAGTTTCCGACTGAAAAGAAGCTTTTGTCTTCGGACGGGTTCTTTGAAAGAAACGCAATATATATGATATCACCCTCAAAGCCCTCGGTAAATTAGAAAACCGGTTAAGAATGTCATTGATTTTGTCTGTCGATGTTGTTGCATGAACGTGCATCCTTTTTTCCTCAATACTTGTTGTGAAGTCTGTCTCTTGGGTTGGCCATTTTTCCTTATTTTCTTGTAGCCAAGAAGGTCCCTGCCACCACAAAGAATTTTTGACCAATTCGTTCGCCAGTATGCCTCTGCTTGCTAAATCTGCGGGATTCGTAGCTGAATCAACGTGAAGCCAGTTCAAGTTCCCTACTTTGTCTATGATTTTTGTAATTCGGTGGGCAACGAAGGTTGACCACGAACATGGGGGCTTGCGTATCCACGCCAGAACAATCGTCGAATCAGTCCACAGATGTATGTTTAGGTGGCCTAATTCAAGATTTTTGGTGATTGATTCGACTATTTCTGACAGTAATACCGCCCCGCAAAGTTCTAATCTAGGCAAGGAAATTGTTTTGACTGGCGCTACTCTAGTTTTTGCTAATAGCAGATTTACAAGTACTTTATCTTCTTTTTCCACGCGTAAGTAGACTGCGGCAGCGTACGCTTTTTCGGATGCGTCGCAGAATCCGTGAATTTCTACCTTTTCCTTTGGTGAGAAAGATACCCACCGTGGTATCCTTATATTATCGATTTCCTGATAGTTTTTAGTGAAATTCAGCCATCTATCTAGTGTTGTTGGGGACACCGTTTCGTCCCAATCTGTACCTTCTAACCATATGCTCTGCATAAGTATTTTCGCAACAATTATCATTGGAGCTAGCCAACCTAACGGGTCAAAGAGTTTAGCGATGGTTGATAATATCGCTCTCTTCGTTGGATTGACGTTGTCCTCTATTGGCTTGGCTGTAAAATAAAATTGGTCGGAATGCGCGTTCCACCTTATACCTAGTGCTTTTACACTACTTGTGTCCTCAAACTCTAAGAAATTTTCACTCAGAAGATGTGCTTTTGGTATGCCTTGCAATATTTTATTGCAATTCGAAGTCCATTTTCTAAGTGGAAAACCAGCTGATTTTAAAACTGCAGAAATCTCATCCCTGGCTTTTATCGCCGAGTCAATAGTATGTCCACCGGCAAGAACGTCGTCGACATACATATTTCTCCGTAAAATGTTCGAGGCTATAGGATGGAGGCTTTCTGAGTCATCAGCTAGCTGGAGCAATGTCCTTATCGCAAGATAAGGAGCACAATTTATACCGAAAGTCACTGTCTTTAGTTCGTAAATACTAATTGGTTCGTTTGGACACGTACGGAAAACTATTCGTTGGTACTTCGTTTGGTTGGCGTCTACAAGAATTTGCCTATACATCTTCTCAATATCGCTATTGAAGACGTATCTAAAAAGTCTCCAGCGGAGAATCAACACTGGTAAATCAGACTGAAGCACTGGCCCTGGAAGAAGAATATCGTTCAGGCTGACACCATTGGCTGAAGACGACGAAGCATTGAAAACCACCCGAACCTTTGTCGTAGTACTCTCTTCTTTTACCACAGCGTGATGTGGTAAATAGTAGCTGTCGACTGCATCGGCCGACTGAATTGCATCAATTTTAGACATATGACCCATTGTCTCGTATTCCATGATGACTCTGCTGTATTCCCTCTGTAAGTCGGGATTTTTTCTAAGTCGAGTTTCGTTCTTGTAAAATTGAGAAAACGCGATTTTGAGTGATGGACCCAAGTTTATATCAGCAGGGAACTCCGCCTTGAACGGAAGCGACACGATGTACCTCCCATCTGGATTCCGCTGTGTGGTACGCTTGTAAAGCTCCTCGCACTTTGCTTCCTCAGCTGTTGGAGTTTTATCTCTTGGAAGATCCTCAAGTTCCCAAAAAGAGCTTAGCTGTTTATCTAGGGCCACTTCATTGAAGAACGATACTCTATTATTGTTGGTTGGGTTGACTGCATCAGCACGACCAGTCAGTATCCAACCGAACACTGTTTCTTGTGCCAGAAGGGTACTCAGAACATTCTTCTTAATGCCACTCAAAATTATATGGGGATATAAGTCCCCTCCCAAGACAAGATCGACTTGCTCATTTACATAAAACCTTTTGTCTGCCAGGACGAGATCAGGAAAAGCTTGTTGTGTTAGTGCGCTAATGTCGCAAGTTGGCAAATTCCCAGTAAGATTTGGTAGCACTAACACAATAGCATCAATTGAAATGAATGGGTCAATCGGTGAACGCAACTGTATAGAACACGCTTCTTTTACCTGTGCAGAAACCGTATTATTGATGCCCGAAACTTGAGCATGCATTTTTCTTGTGGGCAAGTTGATTCTGCGTCTGAGCCTCTCCGTAATGAAGGAACACTCAGAGCCAGAATCAATTAGAGCTCTAGCAGCATAATTGGTGCCATTATAATGAATAGTAACCCGAGCAGTGCCGAGTAAAACACCTTTGCTAGTATTAGCGTGATGTGATTGCACCTTTTTTACTTGGTTACTTTTCCCCTTTGAAGCTTGATTCCTCAATTGTGCCTGTCTGGAAGTCGATGGTAAATTGTCCGCAGGATTAGAAGTATTTTCCCTGGTAGCTGTTTTAGGCGGTGCTGTCTGATTGTGTAGGAGCGTATGGTGTCGAGAATGGCAATTGGCGCAGTTGTAAGAACTCGTGCATTTCGACACCGAATGTCCGAAAGACAGACAGTTAAAACAGCTATTGTTTGTTTTTACAAAAGAGATTCTATCAGCTACAGACATCTTCAGAAATTTTGGGCACATATGAATTCGATGCTCGTTGCTTTGGCACATTTTGCACATGTATTTGGCGACACTAGTTTGAAAAACGCCAAGTTTCTTGTGAGAAGGTTCAGAGGAATGCTTATGACTTGGCACTTTTGAAAACTTCGAAGTCTTGATTCCTCTTAAACCTGAAACCGATTCTAACGTTTGAAACCTGCTTGAAAGGAATCGGTCCATATCTGACCACTTGGATATTTCTGTTTTATTTTCTACCGATTGTTCCCATAGCGAAAGGGTTTCCTCAGGTAGTTTAGTAGAACACAGATACGTAATAATAGGGTCCCAGTTAGAAATGTCAATCTGGTGACTCTCTAGAGATGATCTACAATTATTAATATCCCTTTGTAATCTCTTTATTGAGGTTCCACATTCGCTCTCAACTGTATTCAAGTTGAAGAGAATCTTCAACTGAGTGTTAACTAGGATCCTCTTATTTTCGTATCTATCGCACAGATTCTTCCAGGCTGTGTTAAAGCCTTCATTCGTTAAATCGCACTTCTTGACAATTTCTTTGGCCTCACCCTGCGTTTTCTGATTCAGATAATAAAGCTTCTGTATGGGTGTAAGCCGTTTGTTCAAGATATAAATGGCCGTGAACATGTCACGAAAAGTTGGCCACGACAAATAGTCACCTTTAAAAACGTCAATATCGCAAGGTGGAAGATGCAAACTATGCGACGCGAGTGACATATCTTCACTTTCTTTTTCTGATTTTTCCAACTTTTCGGAATATTCGTTAATTTTTGTCATACACCTGACAAAAGCTGCATAGCAGATTTTATTTTTCTTCCTTATAGCGCTAACATCTTTAGCACTAGTTGATTCGGTAGTCAGAACTTCGTCAAATAGTGCTTTGGCTTTCTCCCACAGTACACTAAGCTCGCTTTGCTGAATTTTCAGCGAATGTTTGGTGTGCTCACCTGTGGGAGTGCTCAGAAATTCTGTATCAAATTCAATGACCGAATCTGCTAACCGGGTGTATGTTTCCATTTTATTAAAATTTTCCACTTATTTGCGAAATAACAACTTCACAAGAAATTTTTGGAAGTATCACTATGAGAGACTGACTCAAAAGAAGCCGATTTTCCAACCGTAAATATAGCACACGAAGAAAATCCTATGTCAAGGTAACCCAAAACTATATACCCAATGTATATTAGTAGAATGCACCACTGAAATACCACCAATTCAACCACAAAGTAATAAAAATTCTCTAATTTTCCTTTAAATTGTATCTGTAAGCTTTCTATGTTTATTAACACCGATTTAGCAATATAAATGCGTTTTAAGTATACGTATGTATGTATGTTTGTTTGTTCACAAGAAATTGCTCGCCAACCAAACAGTGAGATATGTATATGTATGTATGTATGTACGCTTGTACAATCGCTTTATACGGCAAGTGCAAATAAATTATGTATATCGCAACACACCAACTTAACTAATTAGAAACAGTGCCAAAATTTGTATTGGTTTTTAATACATTAAATGCAAACGTGAAAGTGATTTTGTGAAATGGAAATATTGCAAGTACCAAAGTTCGGTGCAGTAAAAAGTTTGGTTATGTAAACCGAATACAAGTGCAGTGTTGTTGTTGTTGGCAAATTTCGGTGATAAAATGCAAGTCACCAAGGAAAATATGATCAATAAAATTAAACTATTTGAATTAATCACCGTGAAGAAACTTCTTGCAAATTGTTTCACGAAAATTCCAAAGGAAAACAAAACACTGCTTTTTTTTTTTTTTTTTATACCCGATCGCACTTGTTTAATGTTGAAATGGCTGTAGCGCCCACAAATGTATGTACATATATATGTGCGTGTGTGTTTGTCACTTAGCACTTCGGTTGCAATTAAAACTTTAAATTTTCACAAAATCACTCGCGATTTCTTAATTATTAACCAAATAAATGTTACACAAGATAATCTAAGTGCAGTGAAATTTGAACCACGTACCTTTAATATAAAAATTTGATGTTTTTATCTATTAATAGGTGTCGGTGTTTGTGTGTGTTGATGCTGTTGATGCTGGAAGCTCCTGTGGTTGCTTGGTGCAAATTTTGTAGCTGCTGTAATGTACGGCTGCTTTGGAATGGCGCAAATTGGATAGGCTCAAATTGGAACTCCTCGGATTGGCTCAAAAAGCTGGGCGCTGGCAATTAAAAGTTCAAATATTACGGCGCTGAAGGACCAGTATGTTTGCATGTATGTATATAAAAAAAAAAAAATATTTATTGGACCAAAAAGTAGTGGGTAGGCACTGTGGCCAATGGTAATCAACTATTACCACCTCCGCATGGTTGTAAGCCATGCAGAGTCCGCAGAAGACTCCGGAAGCAGTGTCCGGAGGATGCATCAGACTAGGCCGATACGCGGTGTTGTACTTTAGACGATGATATGTACATATATAAATATTTAAACATAAATACAATAATCATTATTGTATGCCTGAAAGTATGCAAATTTTAATAGTAACGGAATGTGCAAAATTGTGAAGTCGCTATAACTTAAAATAAATTTAGGCTTGCTTTGCCAAACAACATTTACTTATTTCCATGTAAATTTTTATATATATTTGTATGTGGTTATGAAAAATAGCAAAGCCCTGCAGGAAAACTATCGCTTGTGGATTTATACATTCATACTTACTTACATGGAATTCCAAGTCGCTACTAATTTAAGAATTGTTTGTAAGTAGGTGCATAGATGTTGAGAAAATGTGGCCATTTTAGTTTGAATAGATCGAATTGGCAAAAAAAGAGGTCGGAGTGGGAGTTTAATTGCGACTAAACAAGACCTCAAGTTTGAAGGTAAGAGGTTTCTTTCAGCTATTGCAACAACTCTCGAAGAAAGCTTCATTGCTGTAGTAAGTATAAATATTTATAAGGTGTGAAGACGAAAAGTTATGTGTTAAACATGTATGACTTCCTTTATTTTCGTGTGGTGGTTTAGCTTATCTTCAAAGAATTCTTATCTCTATAAATATATTTAGAAATCGTCCATTTTATATAAACTTATTTGTATGATGTGTAGTTTAAAATAATAAATAAATATTTAGAAATTTTTATTTCATTTTTTCATATATGCATTGTGTTTTCATACACCTCGAAAACAAAAGTTTGTAGCTGTTAGGTCGAGTTGTAATCTGTTAAAAGAAATACTAAAATGAAAACACTTCCTGTTTAAACACTCGATCAGCCTGTAATAAATACTTTTAGATTTTTGGCTTCAACGTTTAGTTTTTTGTACTGAAAGTGTTAAGGTGTTTTATTGCCAAAAACAAGTTTTAAAGAAAGACTTTCCGAATTCCAATTTATATCTATACAATGATTGTACCAGTCGGCCGCGGTATGAAGGCCGTTTATGCTTGTGAAGTGCAAAGCAAGCATCCAAATGGCGATGCTCTGGAATCAATCTAGTGGTGCGCTTCGGGATGAGCTTCGACTACTTTTCGGATGCGTTTTGGTACAGTATCTTTATGTGGGCAACAGTATACTTTGTAGATATGTACGTTTGCATTGCGATTTAAAGACCGAAAGACTGCCCATGTAAATTTAAACTGGAAGGCTCCTACGGCAATTACACACTTTTTGTTTGATTTCATTCATTTTGCTGGATATAAAATCATTTGGCAATTCATTATAAAATTTTAGTTCTTTGTAATACAAGTTGGGCTTAGCTGATTCAGTTTTATATGCAGGTGTGTTGAAGTCATTCCTATTTCGAGTATTTTTGGAATGTGCATTATTAACTTATACATGTGTGTACTTATTGTTGGTTTTCAAGAAATCGGGCAAAAAATATCTGATAGACAGAATCTCTTATTATGAAAAACATGGTTGGACAGTATATAAAATGTGCATCAATTAGAGATCTAAAAACCACAGTCTTGTTTATAATAAATTTTGATTCCAATTGTCGAAATTCGACATTTTTTTCATACATTTTTGAATTTTGCTTGTCACCAATATTGAATACCTTATGCGAATGACGATTTTGAAGTCCACCACCAGGGAATTTACAGGAAAACTTAAAACCGAATTTCTATAGAAGCTTTCGAAATTAGATCGAGAAAGGAAGGCCATAATCATACTATCCTACGCTCACCAGTCTTTTCCAATATTTTATGTGTGGTGAACAGCATGTTCTAAAGCCACTCTGAAAAAGTCCAATCAGTTCGTTAATGGGAATTTATGCATGCAAATTAACGGCTCGTCACCACCGTACTCGAATATTTATTTTTACGGCAAGAAAATATTTAGATTCATTTCCATTTTTTCCGCCGGGTCGAAGGCTCAGGGTTTTTTTTCTGATCATTTCATGTCAATGGCCCAAAACACGCGATAGTAATTAGGCATGAACAATTTTTGTTTTTTCGTGTCACCCGAGATGAATAAAAGCAGTGCAGAAAAATGTTATTAGTGTAACTTGATGTTGATTTGCTCTTGTACATAAGACATCGTAGAATCGCGTTTAATGCAAGCACAATTATTCACGTGTGTTTTAGTCCAATTTCTGTCGCAATTGTGTTTACCCGACTGAAATTTCCGATTGAAATGGATCAACAGTTCGCCCCCGTCAGCCCGTTACACGCTATCCGCTGCAATTCTGTCTACCATATTAGCTTTTTTATTTTTCCGTGGCAATATCGTTATTCATCTTCCGTCATAGTTGGGCGGTGGGATATCGCTTCTGTCGCACTCGTCTATTGGCTTGGGTTGATTTTCTTCACTGATTTCAGTGATGTTATCATTCAGAAGGGTGGAGGAGTGTTCCTACCCTAATTTAAGTATGTTAGTGTCATCAGTCTTTTGCTCGTCGAGTTTTTTTTTTCATAAGAATTTGCGTTTACCTTGTATTGCTTCTTCAGCTAAGTTGGTGACTCTCAATATTGTGTCGACTGTTAACCCACCTTTCCGAAAACCATACTGTGCAGCAGACAACCAACGCATAGTATCGATACAAATAAAGAAGTGCGAGTATTTGGAAGGAGAAAGGATGCGTAGAAGAGGTGGCGATTTGGCGAAGAAAGAGGTGGAAACCTAGTTGACGTCGAAGAAAATTACGCAAGCATAGCATTGTACCTGCCGAGGGACTACCACATCAGCATAATTCCACAAAAACTCTTTGGGGAATTCGAATACTGCTACACACAAAAACAAAGTTGACCGAGAATACAAGTTTGCGCGTCTTTCTTCGCGGTCATCTATTTTATGATTCTTACCTCGCCGAAGTTATTTTAACCCGTCTTTTTTTATGGTCAACTTTGGACTTTATTTATGCCTAATGGCGATATGGTCTCATAGAATGGCACAGATGATACACTCTAATAACTTACCTAAAGGCTCGCACCAGACTCTGTCTTTTTCATCTACTCAGAAATATACCTTCATGAAGGCATCCACTAAAAACTTTAGAAAATGCTGATGGAGTTATATCCATCGTCCCTTTACTGGTAATATTTGGCATACCACCAAAGCCGGAGGCCATTTTGTTTCTTAAACGTTTGGCAGTTTGAATTTCAATAAAGAAACCTCTGTAATTTTTCTTAAACGTATTTCAGTTGACAGAATTCAACAGAAGCAAGTCCAGTGAGTCAAATGTTTTTTTTGTCTAGACACAGCCATGTAGCTTTATGGATCTTCTTTTTCTGCAAGCTTGTCCTGCAGAAATCATGTATCGGGCCCGCAGAGTAGGTCAGTCTCAATTCGTTATCGGATGTTTCATAGCGGAGACTTATTTTTCCGACCATGGGGCCAAATATTCGTAATTCATAATAGCAACTCAGATATTGAAAAGCCGTAGCACCACTTTGATATGGTGACGGAAGCAGCGCTGGTAGGTGCACCTCAAGCACTGATAGAAGAGATCCGTGGACGCCTCATTCTACTCTTTCATCGATGGGTGCGCGCAAAATCTATGTGACTAATTTACCATTACCTAATCAGGTATTTATTAGAGAAATAAATAAACATTGTGGATAGTTACGCACTTTTACTAGACCGCTCAAAAATTGAAATGGAAACGAATGAAATGAAACCGTTGTTGTGATTGTTTTAATGTTAATATTGTATTCTTTAATTTCCAAATTAAAAATTTTCAAAAGAAGGCATTGTTCTAATATTCCTAACTCTCGTCGAGTAGTGTCAAATTTGAAAAAGTATTTCAGTTTCCTCGTCTTATGCTGTAAAGGTGGTGGTGTCGTGCCATAATTTTTGCATCGAAGTAAAAACTTCAGTTTCTCTTTTTCCAGCCAGTTTCCTGACGTTCTTGTTGTGTTGCTTGATTATGTCGCATGTCTCTTCGTTATATTTAAACTTGATGTGTTGATAAAATTGTTTCATGTGTTTTGTTGTGTATGGTTTTTCCTTTCCGTTTTCTTCGGATTTGCTCACCGATACTTTTTTTTATATATGATTGGACCAAGATTCTATTGAAATTCTATGCTGGGTTTTTGCTTTCCATCAAAACCCAGCAAACAATTTCACTAAGAATTTGGCCCTTGTAAAGAAGCGATACACACTTATATATAAAGCGCGGATGCGATGTATTGCTGCTACAGACGATGTTAGAAAATTAGATTTGTGAAACGTTTTGTCAAATAATAAATAAATAAAAGACACATTTTTGATTTTTAAATTCACTACATTTTTTATTTATAGCATTTTTCGCATGTATGTATGTAATCACTTAATATTTAACGCAAATACAAAAAAATTATTATACAATTAGAATAAAAACTTGCAAACATTTGTTTAACAGAGATAACATGTCCACTATTGAGAAATATTTTATATTCCATAGTGTACAGGTATCTCTCACATATGTTTGCATTCAGTTTTTATATTCTTACGGACTTCTTTTCTATTTGCCGACTTTTTACAAATTCTGCCGCTTGGACTCTTCTCTTTTATATGCGTTTTTAAGGTACAATATTGTCGTTTTACCTAACTAATTTACAGAAGATTAATTATCGTGGCAAGTGGGAGTATTCTTTGAGCTTAAGTGAGCCTGTAAATCTAGTGAGAGAGTGAGTAGTTGAGTAAATGACTGAGTGGAAATGAGTAAGTTTGAAGGTGGGTGTAGTGGCGGTGATCAGCAGCTACATATGTCGATTATTTCATGTATTCGCATTTAAGAGGTGGTGAGAGAAATGAGAGATGCCATGGAAATGTTTACGGGGACGAAAAGAGATCTAAGTAATATTTACAAAATACATAAGGGTCTATCACTGATTCGAGGGACATATTTACTCGTATGAATGGCAGTGTTTTTATTGGCAAGATTACAGGTTTGCATGCATTAGCTTTAGAGAACGATAATGAAAAGAGCAGATGAAGTTATAAAAATACGAGAGTATTGAAAGCATATGGCTGTAGAGTATGTATTGTGAAGACATTTATGAAATCCCTATTTACACACACTGCGCTTCGGTGCCGAAATATCGGCCGACTTTTGGTTGATCGATAAGTAATCGCGATTTTATGATACACCATCTCGCCCTTTCCACTTTTTCACTTATTCGGTCGTCATCGTAGCATGGGATTTTCAATATATTAATATTAGATATTCGTTAATAAATAAATTCTAACGCTTGTTTGTTTGGAGTGGGGTCAGGTCCATTATTAGCGTGCGTTCATTTCGCTATCTTAGTAGTGAGAGACATGGGCGTGCGCATCGTGGGTGGCATATCCGTAGGCGGCGGGAGCGTGATGCGCCAATGATAAAGCTGGAGCGGCGGCAACATGGTGCGCAACTACTGGACCATGAGAGAGTACGGGAGCGTGCGCAACAGCAACTGGAGCGGCATGATGGATGGTGGGGGCGCTCTTGGAGACGACGGCATTGAAACCGTTATGGTCATCGGCGGTATACTCGACAGTGCGCACCGAACCGTCTGGTTCGACGAGCGAGTAAGAGCCCTTCACCACATCACCATCGCGAACTTCGTGCTGTGACTTCACATCACCGGTATGTGAGTCGGCAACACCGTAGTTGTAGTGGTATTTGGGGTAGGCCTGTCAAAAGATAAGAAGAATATTGAAAAATATTATTAGAAACATTTTATGAAGCAATGAAACAAATAAATATTTAATTATACTAAGCTTTGAGCTTTAAGAAAGCTTCATACACACATATATATGTATATGTATGTATGTGCTAGTTGACGTAACTTATTCGCGTGTTTGGTTAGTCAAAGTGTTTGACGGCTCTAATGCATTGCCCAACGTGGGAATCATTCATTACACCTCTGTTCGCTGTCATGCCGGCTGTTGGCTTATGACTCAACCCTCCGAACAACTATAACAATGACTTGCCACATTAGCGTTTACGCCCGCGTAACCATGTCGAACTTGCGAAGGTCAGCGGCATCGTGTGAATGAAGTCGTGTTCTCAGCACTCAAATAATGCAAATGTTCGCAAGTACATTCAAATGCCATAGCGCTTTAGTATGGGAAATTCACTTTTTGGGGCATTGAAGTAATTTAATTCAGGCAAAAGGTGTTGCTGAGAACATTTTTCAGTGCATTTTTGTTTTTTTTTTTTACTATTTAATTAAGTAAAATGTTGCAATGTCCAAATTACAAGTTTTCATTGTAGTCTTGCAATGCATGCGAAAAAATGATACAGTAAATATGAAATATTATTGTGTGACTTTGCATACTGTTATTTGTATAGCCCGTGATTGTTGTTTTTTTAATAGTGGGAAATTTAAGGATTAGGTGTATATGTAACGAGAGAGAGAGAGAGAGAGAGAAATAGAGATCTGGGAATTTATTCCTTTCTAACCGACTTCTAAAAAGGAGGGCGGTTATCAATTTATGATAATATATCCACCTTCCGGCAAAAGGTGGTGCAAAATTTGGTGTAATTTGTTGCAGAAAGATTTGTAAAGCCACCATTTCCCATCTGATTAACGCGACTTCAGAAAAAACTTAATACGCTTTTGAAAGACGTGTACGATAAGTGTTCACTATCGGCCAAATGACATCTAACATATACACAGTTATTTAGTTTAAAAACTATGGAGTAAAAGATGAAGTCGAGTGCAATCGAATGGGTATTGGGTTGTCATCCGTGTTGCCATCCCCACAGTTTTAAAAATATATTTGTTATTCTACAAGTAAATTTGCCATTTCCTTAAAACAGTCAACACGTTGAGTGCTGCCGGCTGTTAAGAAGCCACATGGATCTCACTTTCTTTCATACTTGCGTGCAATTTTAAACACTTTTCGTTTCTTGAATATCTCTTCTTGCTGCAGACGTTAAAAATGAAAAAATTTTAATTTAATTTTCGCCTCAACGCCATCAACATTTTTCAACTATGAGATTGATTATAAAATATTTAAATACCACTTTCAAAGTTGTCACAATCAAAGCTAGTTTATAAAAGTATGTAACTGTTGAGCATGTTTATTTAATTATCTCAACACACGCATACACTCAAACAAAGAGCATATCTAGTATTATGTATGACATACTAAAATTCGCACAACAAAAGTGAAGCGTAGTGAAGTGAAGTGAAGTGGCGATGTGGCATGTCATTTGTTTATAATCATAAGCGTCACTGAAGACTGTTACTCAACACTCACTCAGCAACAGCAGCAACAAAAGAAACAACAACAACAGCTGCCAAATTGTGTGATGCGAGCAGCGAGCCACCGACAAAGCATTGCGCCTGCTGTGGCAGACTTTTTGCACATACTTATATATATACATACATATGTACCGTATGCATGCGCAATGCATTGTGCATCGCTATCTGTCTATCAATTGTTTGTTTGTAGTGATTTCTCAGAGTTGATGTCGTAGTAATTTTATATATTTTTTTGGTTTTGTTGTTGTTGCTACTGTAATTTGCGTGTCAGCGTGTCAGCGCGTTGCTGGCGCATACATATCGGCAACATGTAATCTGGAGCAATGAAGTGCTGCTATCCGAAATAGCACATCGCACAAAAACAACCAAAGCAACAACAATAAAAATCGCAACAGTAACAACGATTTCTAGCGCACAATAATATTATTTGCTCTTGTAATGTTTTGAATTCTGCATTTGGAAGCATTTGCAAGCGTTTGCAAGCGATTACGTGCAGTTTGTTTTTGTTATTACTTCTGCTTTGAGTGCCTGCGGCTACTTGCTGCAACTGCGTTTTTATGTGATTCGATGTTATCATCGAACTGAAGGCGAAATTACAGCAGAATTAGGTGAAACGATGGCGCTGTGTTACAATTGGTCAATTGGGCGCTAGATAAGTGAATAGAAACTGGTACGAAATTAAAGTCAACAAGAAAAAAGGGGAGGAATGGGGGTCACCCAGTATTATAAATGTGTACCTAAATTTCTCATTGAGGTGTGGGGGGGTGACTATGGGAGTACATATAGCTGTTTTGCGCAAAGATGCACTTAAAAATGTTTTAAGCGATTGTTTTGTCTAGCAACAGCCATTTTTCAAAGCACAATTTTATGAGTAAAATCGGCTTTGTAGTCAACCAATCAATCAAATAAAGATTTGAGCGGCACGAATGGTTATCAAGAAATAATTGAGTGACACTTCGAAACTGTAGTCGTTAATTTCTGCGTCGGCTTTGATGCGTTAAAGTGTTTCTATATGTTATCTGCTAGTTTTGATTCAAATGTAAATGCAGGTTCGTTGCTTAAGTCTTTTGTTAATCGTGCAAAACTACTACAGAATTAAGTGTTCGCTGCCACTTATTAATCTTCGCTTTTGTTCATGAATTATGCAAGCGGAAAATATTAATTGCAGCTTATCAAGCCATGAATTTGGGAAAAATGCAGCAGTGGTGTCAATTCAAAAAAAAAAAAAAAAAGAGAAGCGTTCCCACTTTTTGAGTGACCTTGTATCTACTTATACTGTAATTTATCTGAAGAACTAAACTCGAAATTGGTATATAATTTTAGCACAAAGAATACTTGCACTTATTTAAGAAATAATGAATTTTCGCAGTGGCATTTAAATTGGAGGATATATTTCTAACGAACTCCGATGTATAGCCTTTTATTTTAATGTCTTCTAATGTCTGTTTAATGTCTGTAATGTTTAATGTCTATTCTTTGACATAGTTTTTCAACAACCTCGTCAGAATCTGTTTCGCTGCAAGTATAACTTTTTTCTGAACGGAAATAAGTACGTTATATACATACATAAGGGCGAGTAAATTTTTTTTGACTATGCGCATATAGCATAATTCTAAGAAAATTTCCCGAAGAAACCCTGGGTCTTAAATCAATTTGGAGTTCGCCAAATTGCGACAAGAAGTTTGGAAGAAAATGTGGAAAGGAGTCCTCATACCGAAAAACCTTTTATAGCATGGTTTTATACAAAATTTAAGCACTTTTTTATGACACTACCACAAAATGCTGAGAAACCTATTTTCGAAATTTGGCAACCTACAAATTGATTTTAGACCCATGGTTTCTTCGGCGAATCGGCTTAGAATTACACGTTGAATGCTTCTGTACTATATGCGCATAGTTGCAAGAAAACTCTCATACAAATTGACCCGCCCTAATATATAGATAGTATAAAAATTAAGGAAAATTTATGAAAGTATATCATGAATTCCTCCTAGCTTTCAGTGACGTGTTAAATGCTTTTATTTTATTTGAAATGCGCAGCACAGGTAATTAAAAGTTCATTACTAGGTGACCTTATAGTTGCACTTTTTGACTTGCAGCCAATATTTCAAATGAAAAAGAACTATTAGATTAGTGTAAGCACCATGTAAATAAATGTGTATAGATCGTATGAGATTTTCCTCAAATATTATGTTGCCTTTGCTTTCCCTACATTGAGCGATTCTTTCTTCTAGAGCAGTGCTGTTAAACGTCAGTGTATTTATTTGATGCGATTATGTTGAGGAAGCCTTAAAGGCTCTTTTCGTGAACCAATACACTGAGTCAATTAGTAATATTTTTATATACAATTTAACATTTTATCAAAACCTATTTCACCCGTCTTCCCTGCGTAAATTTAAAAGCACAAGAAGCGTATTTTAAAAAATCAGATGTTCTTTTCTTTTGGCATCGAGTTAGTTATTCTACGATCGTACAATTGAGAAGCCTTTTATGAAATGAATAGGATATTTAATAGGAAGAATTTGCTTTACTGAAGTCAGAGAATTGGATTATTGGCCAAAGGTGGAACGTAGATACATCAAATCAATGTCGGCAGTGACAGCCAAGCTCAACTGAAAGCATTGAGAATCGATCGGACCCGTTCAAGACTTACTATGGACTATAAGCTGGGGCTTAGCTACTACTGTAGGTGTTTAATTTTAATAGCTTATGAATTGACGTTCTGTTTATGTGTTGGAACATTAAATCGAACTGAAGCTAATAAAGCAGGAAAGTATGACCCCTGTCGAGTCCAGTACAAAAGAAATAGATATTGTTGTCGAGGCGTACCATAAGCCCAAACCAATTTAATTCAAGACAAAGAAGAAATTTTTAAATTTCGTATACCCCTTCTATCGAATCATCCTTTCCAACCCACAAGTTGTAATGGCAGTAAATTTCGCTGTAGGTGTTTCTGAGAGCAAGGTATAAGAATTAAATATATGTATGTAGCTATGTAAATGGTTTCAAATTTACTATTTGATTTTGAATAGAGATGGAAATCGGAATATTAAATCCAGTTACCACTGATCTTAGTTTTAAATATATATATATTCCTTTGTGTCCTTGAACCTTTAACTTTTTTTTGGAAATTTAAATTTTAGAACTAAATACTAGCCTGGTATGGTTGCAAAATTTGATTAGAAATTCGATATAAACTATTACTAATTGTACTTAGTAAACAATTAACACTTTTTGTGAATTTGCTCAAATTTTTCAAAAATTTTGAAGCACATAACGCCTATGGAATGCTTATAAATGTATGTGGTCTAGAATCCTCATGCAAGATGATGGCCAAATGCCAACTACCTGCCCGAAAGCATAGCAAAGCCAAACATTTCCTATTGTGGAATCGAAATTTCTCCTCCCACGTTTAACAATTAATTAAAAAGAGCTTTTTGTTGCTATTTGCAGTTTTCTCAACACACTTACATAATAGTCGAGTCCTTCATCGTGGGCAGGTCCATGTGCAACCGCCAGCGGTGCAGCAGCGTATAAACCGGCACCGTGTCCACCATGATGCAGAATGCCAGCAGAGGCAACGCTTAACACAGCCAAACACACCAAAGACTGTAACGAAGAATAAAAATTAATAAAGTAATTAATTAAGGTGCGAAATTCCACAGCTGTGCAGCACTTTGAAATGATATGCAAGTATATTTGCAAATGCACATGTGATATGTATGCGCTGTGATTTTATTGTAGTTTTTTTTTTAATGAACAAGAATATTATTTTACTTCAAATATTTCAGAGTTTTTTTTATTAACTACAATTCATCCTTTGAAGGCTTCAATCCTTCTCAATATTTTCACAGTTTTACACAGTTCATAATTTATATATATATATATATACATATTTTTTTTATTGTAAGCCACTCACTTTGAAAAAGGCCATTTTTATATTAGGTTTTATTTTGTTGCTTTATTTTGAATTTAAAAAATTACAGTTAGCTCTTGACTTCCCACTTTATTTCGGTCTATGCGACTTGAATTGCTGCAGTCAACTGATAACTAGAACCAAGAAGGAAGCTGCTTTTATATACTTGACTCCACCCGTTTGCCAGCGAATGCGAATGAACGAACTCTATTGCTTTTGAACTTAGCTTTGCTCAGTCAAAGAGCTGGTGGCGCTCGAACTCAAACCGAACCGAAGCTTTGTGCTGCAATTGTGGCTATTTTTGATGTTGTTTGATGTGGTTGTTATTGTGGTTGTTATTGGTGGTGGTTTGTTATTACTGTTGCTTGATTAGTTGGCTCGCTAGTTAGTTAGCCACAAACTACGTAGATGGTGGTGGAGGTGCTGGTGGTGGTGGTGGTAGTATGGTTTGTTAGCGACGCAAGACGTCGCTCTGAATTTGTTTGCTTGGTTTCACTATTCGATTTATTGTTGAAGGCGTTTGGCGCAAATAAAATAAAGAGTAAACCTCTGCGTTCAAAATAAAGTTTTCAGGCAGTGTAGTGTTTTTTTGTTTTTTTTTTTTGTTTGTAATAACACAATCTTCACAAAAGCATGTACACATATCGATATAGCTGCACTAGTATGTACAATATATACTACATTTTTTTTTACACGCAAACTTCTGCTACTGTAAATTCTACGTAGTTGTTGTTAAAGCAGCAGCCTGAATCTGGCTTCCCCTCTACTCAGAATTGCTCACCATCCTTAAAGATAGCTGCCATTCATAAGTAAGTATGTATATGTGTATGTGTTTCAAGCTACATATAACAAATAAATTGAATTAGTATTTATATATATACAGCAAAACAATTGTTGTTTTTGTAAATGATCGCTGCCAAATTTTGTGCTGAAATTTGTTGAATTCTCGCACCACCTTTAGCTTTCTTCACTTTAATACGAGTATGCTCAGCTTGCTGTGGTTTCGTTTTCATTTATTTATGTTCTAAAACTAGCTAGAAAAAGGGTAAAAAAAAAATCGTTGCTATTGTTGTCTTTAATTTTGTACTTCATGACCATGGATATTGAAGTCAATTTAACATGGCATTAATATTAACGATTGGCGTGGCTGCCACAAACACTTTCGCTGTACAAGTACAAGAGGGGTATGTGTTTCGCTTTTGCCAGATTGATGGTTAATTGCGTTTTTAATTTGAAAATTATATGAGTATTTATAAAGCATTTTAAACACTTGCTTGATTAATTAATATTTTGTGTTTGACGGCCGTGTCACGTATGTAGTTAGTTAATGTGTAAGATTCGAGATTTCGAATCGCTTAAACCAAATTAAATAATTTTGTTCGTTTGTTACCTCTACGCTTTGATACTCTTATCATACAACAAGCAGTGGAAAAAGAAAATAAGAAGAGCGGGAAAGGAAAAGTTTGAAAAACAGTGGCTATTAACACTTTCGAGTGGAAAACAATGGGGTATTTATACAGGGTATCCAAGAAGTAACCTGCCAAAGTTGAGGAGAAGGTAGGTGGGGGGTGAACTACGCCTTGTTTGTACATACATGTAGTTAAAGAAAATACATGAAAAGGCTCGATTTTCTAATAGAAAAAATATCAATATTTCTAAAACGGTGACACTTTTAACTGAAAAATATTTGCTTATCAGGGAGCTCACCCCCTACCTACCTTCTCCACAAGTTTGGCAGGATATTTCTCGGACACCCTGTATATTAAAAAAACGCACCGATGGCTTATATGCAAGGTGACCATCCGTACTTTATTTTAAAGGACAGTCCTTTTTCTAATTATGCTATCTTTATTTTTTGAAAAATCTTTTTGATCCTTTTTTCAAAACTAGTCATTTGAAAGTACTTGTCTTATACGAGTCCGACATTTCTGTTTTTAGCAGAAATCGATTACTTACTACCATACGCACCAGCTGTCAAAAATTTCAAAGTCCTACGAAGTACCGTTACAAAGTTAACGCAAAAGCAATTTTGGCTTAAGTGCTTCATTGTAATCTATTTACATTCTTTTTGTACACGCAGTGTCGGTTAAGCCCTTTTCTGCGTAAAAAAGTTTTTTAATTGCAGAGAAAAAATTTTTAATTGCCTCTATTTTTCTTCCAAATATATGGACTATTTGCAACTAAACGTAGATACATATATTTGTAGTAGATTAAGATTTAATCATAAGTATAAAAATATAATACAAGTATCTGGTGTTGAAAGACTTGGTTCTGGCGGAGCTTAACTAAAGGCGTACTCGGCCCACGCAGCGACACCGATTGTTCTGAAGAGTAAGTTGAAGAGGAAAATTGTGTGTGTCAGAGGAGACGATTGCCCTGAAAAGCAGAAGGTTGCTTAAAACGACAATATTATGAAATGCGTGAGCCCGACAAGAATAAGTAGGCAAAACATACACTTTTAGTTATCTTAATAACAAGAATAAAAGGAATAAAAGGAATAAAGTAAAGGCATCAAATCGCGCCCCGTCTTCAAAAGGGGCACAACTCAAAATTACAAGCTTTTTAGTGCGAAAAACTATTTCTTAGCACATGCTAATCGTATGGGCAAGGGAGACTTTACCGTAAGTTTTTTTTACAAATTATAACAACAAGTTGCTCCTGCTTTTTCTGAACAAGGTAAATTAAAGCTTTGTGTAAATTTTTAGCGCATAATTCCAAAAATGCAAAATTTTGGTTTTTCCTAATGCAAAAAAATTGTTTTTTAAATATATCCTTTGGCTTTGAAAGGAAGAAAATCAGCATAACATTAAATTCAAAGGAAACAATTTTGAAGGTAAACTCAGAACTCCATATGGAGTAAATAGTTTGAATTTCAAGTAGGTACGGCCAGATCGGGTATATGGCGGTTGTATGATATAGTGCCTTAAATTGAAAAACAATTTCGTAGGTCAACTCAGGACTCCTTAGTACGTATACAAACCTAATTTCAAGATGATCGTATACAAAAAACGAAGTTTATGGCTGCTTTATGATATATAGCCTCGAACCGAACAAAAATTGTTAGGTCAGCTCAGAGCCCTATAATATATATCTAAACCGAATTTTAAGCTGATATATTCATATGGCAAAACAATAAATTTGTTTTCTTATAGTACAATGTGCGCTTCGTGGCCGATTCTCAGTTCTGTAGGATCCGTTTTCGGTTCGTTTAGAATGGCTTGTCAGTTCGAGTTTCGGTCGGTCCTCTAAAGGAAATGGTTTACTCGTTGCGGTTCCTCCATTCACTGCATCACTACTATACAGAGAGCTTTTTGGTTACTAATTCCCTCGCAATAATTCTGCATGCTAGCTCTAATCGATCTGGTTAATTTTTTTTTAAAGGATTTCGAAATAGCCATTGTCCGTCCGTCTATGCATACGATAACTCGAGTAAAAATTGAGATATCTTAACAAAACATAATACGTGCACTTCTTTCGGACGTGGGACGGACGGTATTGAAAATGGGAAAAATCTGACAATAACCACACCTACCTCCCATATAACGGTAGTTTTCAGAAATACGAAAACTGCGATATTTTAGTAACTATCTAAACTAAAAATTTTTGGAAAATGGGCGTGACCACGGACACTTATGGGTACATGTGCATATCTTGGTAATCGCTGCCCTAATTTCTTCAAACTTGGCACAGTTGTTGGCCTTGATACAGCATAGAAAGTGGCGGAAACTTTTTAAAATCGAACAATAACCACGCCCACATCCCATATAACGGTAATTTAGAAAAATACGAAATCTTCGATAAATCAGTAAATATTAAAGCTTATTCATTCAAAATTGATGCGAGGGTGAGCGATATGCTAAGCTTATGTTTTTACCATTCTACTCAGTTTCTCTACTCCCAATCCTTCAACTTTGTTTACTGTAATATTTTGTACGTATATTTTTGCTATTTAAAAACTTATGCCCAACTCATGATGGATGCATTATACATACATATGGTTTGTATGTATGTATGCGTGTTGGCAAAATTTATGAAATTCAAATATAATTCTTCCATTAGTATTTATTTGTCTTACGAATTTCCCGCATTCTTGGTATTTTTCGTTGTAAACACATTTTGCTATTACACCAACATGAATTGCCCAAATAAAAGTAAATATGTATGTAGGTATGTATTGTACATGATTGTAAGTACGCTAGTATGTATGTACATACATACATACGTACAATTGCATATCTTTCAAGGTTATCACGTTTGAGTGAACCGTTCGAATTGCTGAGGTAATATTGTAAATGAAAAGAGTGGAAAATTATAAAAGCGAAATCAAACGCAATACGCCCGAATACTTGCCTACCAGCAACAATGCCGGTAAGCACTGGACGCAATGCAATCCGGCAAGTGTGTTTCTATTTCTTCACTCAGACATCTTTGTGCATGTGTATTTTATTTTATTTATACAAATGTACGTATGTATAAACAATTGCGTATGTGTGCGGTCTGCATGGCAAAAAGTTCAACATGAATCAGAGCACGATGCGATTGCGGCGACGCAGTCAATTTGTGACGCAAATGGTTTACCACACATGTACATACATACAGACCATACTATGGCCCAATAATGTAATGTAAATGGAGGAAATAGAACAAACGCATATGAATATATCGACGCCTGAGTGGAAGATCGACCTATCTCAGAAAACTTTTTAGAATTCGATTGAAAAACACCTGATCTCGGTTGAAAAAGGCCCAATCTCAGCTAAAAATACATTGAAAATGTGCTGAGATAGGGCACCTTTGAATCGGCAGCTGAGATAGGGTGTTCTTCCACGAAATTCTGAGATAGGCTATTTTTCAATAAAATTCTGAAGTAGGGCATTCTTGAAAAGTTTTCAGATAGGCCGTTTTTGAACTGGCTGCCGAGATAGGCCGACCTGCCACTCAGGTATCGATATGTACACATGTATATTCTTAGCTTAGTTAAACTTGTTGTTAAGAATTCAAATCTTTTTGATATAAAAAACTTATATATTTCTCTTTCATTTAGTTTTTACAAATAATTTCACCAAAACAACCTAGTGTTCCTATGAATGTTTATTTTGCTGTCAAACTGCCATTA